GAGGTGGAACAATGTTTTGTATAGTGTGTTATGCCAATTGAGCTTGGTGTCCCTGCGACTATGGTCCCAAGCCCACAGGTTCAACTACTCGGTCCCTCTGTGTAGCTGGCTGTGACCAAGCAGTGACCACAACCTTGCCCCTTGTCAGCTCTACTATACACCTGGGAATTCTGATCATTCACATAAGCTTATAGAACCATTGTCTGCCAACCCTATGCATGTTTTTGGATACACTCCCCATTTCATAGACATACCTAATTGTTTAGCCTGTCTACCCATCGATCCACCCATATACCCATGTTTGCCTTCACTGACAACGCAGTACTGTATGTGCAGAAGGGTTCATATTTGTTGTCTGCACCTCCCATGTACTTCTCTATGTCTTTCTCATCCTCAGTGATGCCATATTGGTCACTCACATTTGGTACATTGCCCTTCTCTTCACCCAAATCAATCAGTTGGTGTTTTCTTATTTCCATTTTCTTTTGCTTTTTTTTGTTGTTATGTGCCATCGTGTCAGACCCAACTCATAGTGACCTGACCCCTCCTTGGGTTTCCAAGGCAGTATCACTACAGAAGTAGATTGCCCAACTTTCCTTCTAAGGAGTGGCTGGCGGGCTTGAACCACCAGCTTTCTGGTTAAGAGTGAAATGCCTTTTTTCTTAGAAAAAAAAAAAAAGATGTTTTGGGTGAAAGTTTAGAGACCAAACTCATTTTCCATACTGCAGTTCATACACATTTTGTTACCCCTGTATATGCTTCTAAAGTTAGTTTTACTTTATAGTTTCAGGCAAATAGTTGGAAAAGTCTTATCCTCAAAATATGCCAAGGGTCCATCAGTCCAGTGCCATCTCATTATTCCTATGAGCTCCAGTATCTAATTAAGCAGATGTTTAAAAGGAATCCCTCTCATCGCCCTTCAGCTACAACACTTCTCTCTAGAAGCAGCTTAGCCCGGCTTATCCAGAAGTGCCTACCCCCAGAGGTATTAACATGTTGGATTGATTGTGAACAGTTTTTAAGTGTATTGTAAAATGGTTTTATTTTTTTAAAAGCAATTACACATGCACATTTGTAAAAATTCAAACAGTGCAGAAGTGTATAAAAAATAAGTTAAAACTTCCTTTTTTTTCTTTTCTCCTTCATGTAATGCTATTATCCAGATATAATCACAGTTAAATTTGCAAATCCTTCCAGATCTTTTTCTAGACGTATGAAAATGTCTACCTGTTATTTAAATTAGATATATTTTTAAATGACATTTTTATTTTTCAACTTTAAAT